TCGTTGAGGGGAAGTTGCTGCTTTTTCAGAGCTTTCTGAAGTTTGAAAACGGCTTTCTGCTTTCCCTTTGGCTGTCGTTAGTCACGTGGCATAGCCAGTCAGCACGAAACTGCTGCGGTTAATTTGATCCTCTGCGTCTCGTGTCTGCTAGAGGAAATCTGTCCTGTGCACTGTACCCAGATCATTGTTTGTGCCATTTTGGAGGAGGGGATTTGGAGGTAGGCCGTGTACAAGGAAGTAGCTTTTAAAAAGGCAAAGGTAGCACCAATATTACCAAATCAACCTCAGGTTCATTCCTACTAACTGGCAGGATTTTTTTTTTTTTGTCTTTTTTAGAGACAGGGTCTCCCTGTGCAGTTCAGGCTGGCCTTGAGCTCACTTTGTAGCTCAGGCTGGTCTCGAACTCCCAACAATCCTCCTGCCTCAGCCTCCTGAGTGCTGGGATTACAGGCGTGCGCCACCACGCCTGGCCTAACCGGCAGTTTTGTTACAGTTTTAAAATTAACATCAGGAGCCTGGGTGTGGGGGGTGGTACATGCCTAGCACTCTGGAAGCTGAGGCAGGAGAATCCACAAGAGTTCAAGGCCACCCTGAACTACATAGCAAGACCCCATCTCCACTGTCTCAAAAGAAGTAATATTGATGAGGGGGGAGGGGAACTGAGTTTGGTGTGTTACTGATTGCAGTGACATGGGGCAGGCAGCTTGAGTTTATTTATTTTTTTTCTTATGAGTAGGAAATATTTATTTAGAGAGAGAAAGCGTCTAAGAGGGACGGAGGGGTTCCCGAGTGAGCCGGTGGCCCCAGCAGCTTGAGTTTAAATCAGCGACAGCTGGGTTGTTTTGGAAAAGTTATTGTGTCCCTTCACCTGTGACAGCCGCATGGCCGGTAATAGGCATTAATAAAGGTTAGCGGTTACCTTCCCCAGATTGCCTACGTGTGGTCACTCCCCGCTTCACCTGAGGATGGGGTGACGTGGACACTGACAGTGGTTGAGAGATTTAAAGTGAACTAACACACAGCCACTAGCGAGTGTGGAAGGGTGGCAGGAAGTTAGGTGTCCGTTTGGCTTTGTTAAGTAAAATGCACGGGATGTCTGAGTGTAATTAATAAGGCGCTCCAGTCAGTCCCGAGGTTATTACTCAGTTTTAAATGTCTTCGGGTCACTGTGGTGCCCTTGCTTTTGACTGCAGGAGCTGGTGCCCTGATCAAGCCTGAAGACGCCTAACGTCAGGTTTTAACCCTTTTTCCTGGCAAGCAGGCCAGCCCCGCTTGGAGAGACAGTATGAGTGTGACTTTATGTAGAAGTTGACACGCACACGTCTTCACAGTTTAAACTTCTCCGCTGTCCCGTCCCGGTGTGCCTCTGACTGCAGGAGTCTGGCCTGGGGCTGCCCACCCGCTTCCCCCTCTTCCTGGGGCCTTCCTGTTTCCGGGCGGCCCCCTGCTCATTGCTAGGGGCTTAGTCACTGCCTGTCTCTGGTTTCCCTGAGAGCAGATGCACTGAGGTCATCTAAGCAGTGGCTGCAGTGGCCGGAGCCCCGCTCCCACCCGCAGAGGGCCTGTGCGGCGCTGCGGGATCCTGCTCCGCTGGGCGCCTGCATTTGGGAAGCAGGCTTGCTTACGCTTGAATGCGGGTGTTAGAGAAGCCCAGGGCATCGTCTGATCTGTCTGGCTGGCTCTTCAGAGTTCATTTATGTTCTTTGAACCGGGAATGAGTGGTGGGATCTGGTGGGAAACCTTCCTGTGAAGGCTGGATGAGCCTTCTGGGTTTTGTTTGTATGTTTATTTTACTTTTAGTTTTAAGCTGTACAGTCCAGGCTGGCTTTTAAAAATATGTGTATTATATATAAGTCTTCCTGCCTCAGCCTCAGGGGTGCTGGGATTACAGGCCTGTACCAGCCGTGACTGACCCTTCCAGGTTTTCATGTTCTCTCCACCCTCAGCCTGCCCTGCCTTTGGTTGTGTGTTTCTTACAAAACAAAAGAAGTGGTTGTCTGAAATTGGCTTTATATAATTCCAGATGCCATTATGTGCTATGGATTGATTGATTGGTAGATTTTTGGGGTACTGGGAATTGAACTCAGGACCTCGTGCTTGCCAGGCAGGCACCGTGCCATGGAGCTATATCCCTGGCTCTGTTTTATGCATTTTAAATAACTTCTAAAATTTTTAATTGGACTGAGCTCCAGTGTTACCAGTATATTCTTAATTAAGGGATACTTTAATTGACTAGTTAATTCATGTGTGAGACTTGGGGCAGGAGCGGGGATGAAAGTGCGTGCAGTAGAAGTTGACTTACATTTGTAGCCGTTGGCGCGGGGAACTGAAGACAGTTCGAGTAGGAGGTTTTGCTGAAGCGGTGTGTGCAGTCGGACTCTTGGGACCTGGCACCGGGAGAGACTGCGTTCTGCATCTGCCCCTTCCCAATTCCGGGAGCTCGAGCGGAGTCCTGAATTAGCTTTGTTGAGTGTTACCTTCTCCCTTTCAAAAACACATGAGAGAGGCATTAAATGGGACAGCGCGTGTGCAGGGTATCCCTGGATTGCAAGCTGTTACAGTTGCCAGAATGGCAGCCTCGCGGGTGTGCTCAGAGACCCCTTCTTACTTTGTCCCACGTGGATGGTTGTGAACTCGCAGGTAACGCAGCACTGAAGGTGACACCTGAGGAATGGTTGTTGAACATGGATGTATTCCCTCATGGCTTCTCTGTTTTTACCTTGGAAGTGGCGACTTGGGGACCTGCACAGTGGGCATCGTGAGTTTAAGTTACTTTCAGAATTGACTTTGGGGCTTGTGAAGCACTTGTGCTTTGGAGACAGATGACATCCCGGCTCTCCGTTGAGTGTACGAACTGACCTGAGAAAACCTGATTTAAGTCTCCAGGGTGTCCTGTCACAAGCTGCAAGGGCAGGGCGCATGTCTCGTTCAGCACCGTGCAGTGATGAAGGATGGGAGTACGTCCTCCGGGTGTCTTGTTATGCAGTTTAACTATGCAGACATCAGAGTTTACATGTCGAGTCTCGATGGTGTGGGCCAGTGTGCCCCTTAATCCTGATTTGTGGGCTCCATTGGATGAAGAAGTGCCCAGCAGTGCTAGCGCATGCCCCTGGGCGTGTCCGGATGGATGCTGGAGGGGTGATCTCGAGTACTGTGTATGGCTGGCCAGACTCTTCCAGACAGGATCCCTGATCTGCTTCCCAGCCGCCGTGAGCTGAGAATCTTTGCGCCTTAGAGCCGCCGACCGAGGGCTGAGTCCCCCCTTTAGGCTGTGGACTTAGGTGTTTTATCCTAAGACGGCGGGGCCTCCCGACGGAGAGCGGCAATAAACAGGAGGTGTGCGAGGCTCTGCGGAGTAACGCGGCACCCTGTTCTGCAGTGCACTTCTTAATAAGTAAAAGGCAAACACTCTAAAATAATGACACAAAGTTTAGTGTAGTAACTGCCTACACCAGCAGCCTTGTTCGTTGTCATTGTCCTGTGCACGTACCATACGTAACCGTGCTGCTGTGCTTTCGTACCACCTGCAAGGAAGGCAGTGGATCCATCCCGTGGTAAGTGGTGGCCGCCGCGCTATGCGGGGCGCTGTTTTACCAGGCCTCGGGCTTCCCGGCTGCATTGGGTAAGCAGACCAGTGCCGCGTGTGTCTTCTGTTGCTGGCTGGAACGTGACTGTGTAGTACACGGGTGTATTTTCAGTTATCGTGTGGGCCTGGCACGGGGCAGAGCGGGGCCGGTTTGTTTACGTGCTGGGGATTGAGGCCAGAGCCCTGTGCGTGCTCACCAAGCACTCTGCCGCTCAGCCCTTACTGATACCTGCTCCTTGGCCACTTGGTGTTCACTTGATCAGGGACATCAGAAGTGTGCTCAAGAAAAAGAAGTTGCTGCTGGGGGTGGTGGCACACACCTGTAATCCCGGCGCCTGGGAGGCTGAGACAGGAGGATTGCTGTGAGTTTGAGGCTGGCATGGGCTACGTAGTGAGTTCAAGGCCAGCTGCACTGCATAGCGATACCCTGTCTCAAAAAACCAAAACAAAGAAAAAGAAGTTGGGTGAAGGCCGTGAAACAGCTTGGCCCCCGCCTCCCATGACGGCGGTTATGTGAAGATTCCGTTCATGTGGCAGTGGGACAGCGCGGGGAAGTGCAGAGTGACCAGGCTGAGGTATAGACACCGGGGCGCGAGGCCTGCCCGTTCATCAACCACCCCAGGTTACTGGGGGTTGCTTAGCCTCTGGGGCTTTCCTGTCCTCCTCGAAGGCTGGCCAGTTCTGTGGCAAATGGTTAATTCATTTTTGAGCACGAGTACTGATTGCAGGGAAAGAAACAGTGGTACAGCTTGAGCGGAGTTTTATTCATAAATAGTTGGAAACAGCTCTATTAGGTTATACTGCTCGGATGGGGAAAATGTGAATGATATGATTAGTCATTGATTTTTTTTTCTTGAGGCGGGGTCTTGCTGTGTATGTAGTTCAGGCTGGCCGTGCGCTCCGAGCCGGCCTGGTCCTCCTGCCTCAGGGGAGTGCTGCTGCTGGGACATGCCCCACCGCACCTGGCTGCAGTCACTGGTGTTTGAGAAAGGAGTAGAAGTTACAGAATTCTTTCTTTTCTAAAAAAGAAACATCCAAAGGAAGAGGAGTGTCTTAGGAAGGAGGCGATCACGGGGCCTGTTGCGGGGTATTTAATGTATTCATACCTGGTGCCAGCAGGAGTAAGCTTCCCGCCCGCCACACGGAACACTGGATTGCTCTGGAACTGTATTTCGGGGCACGGTAGTATCATTCCAAGAAGTCCTGAAGAAAGAGCGCCAGAAGGGTGACGTTCCTCGAAGCTGGGCCAGGCTGGGCCTGTGCAGAGAAGGCTGCGGAGGGCGGAGGACGACGGAGGACGGTGGATGAGCCGCGGCGCTCCTGGGCAGAGCCGGGCTTGGTGCGGCGTTTGGGAGTGAGGACAGTGTTCTTCTCCTGCGGAAGATTTCGGTTTCTCTCCTGCCTGTGTGTCTGCTTCATTTCAGCTGGTCTGCACTTACCTTGCCAGGTAAGTGGTTTGAGAAGAGGTCTTTTAGGACGCGCCCCATCACGAAATGACGGTGTTTGCTGTGTGACGTGGCGTGTCTGCACGCGAGGCTTCCAGAGGCTTCCGTCCCGCTGCCCTCACCCAGCCTCCCGTCCCTGCGTCTAGAATGCACTCGTCAGGACTGCTGTTCCGCAGTGTGTTTTGCTTGTTCGTTTGCTGGTGGCCCCAGGCCCTAGCTCGTGCCCAGGAAATGCTATACCCCAGAGCCACACGCCCAGCCCCGCTTGATTCGTCCTTGAGATGCCGTCTTTCCGGAGAAAAGTTATCTTTTGTCCGAGCAAATGTTTCTTTGTTTGGAACTTTCATCTGTTTCTCACATCGTGTATACCTCAGGAGATAACGCAACAGAGTCCTGTGGGGGAAGCGTTCCTCTTCACTGGGCTCGAAAACGTTTGCGGGATTGTCGATAATTTGGGATGCTGGAGCTGTCGGTGCCGAATCTGGACGTGTGCGTGTGCGGGGCGGGGGTGACTGGGAATCTGGGCGGTGGCCGTGGACCTCGTCGGAGAAGTTAGGTGCACGTGGAGGGGTGTGGAGGAAACCCGCCATGGTGCCCGGACGGAGGGGCGAGCGCTGGGCTGTGTGGGGAGCCATGCCTGTTGTGTGGGTGTGCTGAGGATCCGGGCGCGAGGGCAGGGCCTCACTTGCCAGCGCCGCGCCTCGGTGTTATTTCTGAGTGAGGACGGGCCGCCAGGGAGGAGTACGGGGCCAGGCCTGTGATTTTGACACCTGCAGCAGTTCACGGTTGGGGGGGCAGGCTTACTGAAGGTGGCTGGGGCTGGGAGCAGGGCAGGTCCGTGGGACGGACGCGGGCTCCAGAAGCCGCGCGGGCACGCTGGCACCTGATGGGTGGTGTTTCAGGGATGGGAAAGAGCAGACAGTGGAGGAGCAGCCGGGCGTGGCACGTGCCTGTCGTCTCAGGATGTGAGTTCGAGGCCAGCCTGGGCCGCACCGTGAGTTCCAGGCCGGGCTGAACTCCGTGGTGAGACTCTGTCTCAAAAAGAAAACGAGCAGGAGGTGTGGAGACCGCTGAGAGCGTGCGGGTGTCTAGGCATGGAGGAAAAGTGCAGCTGCGGTGGTCTGTGTTTATCTGGGAGCGAGCATGTTTACATTAAGTGGACACTATTTTGTAGGGTCTTTCTTTGAACCAGCCGTAAAATCTGCTAGCTTTCTCAGAACGTGTGAGTACTGCTGCCGTTCTCTGAAGATACTGACTAAACAGTAAACTCCTGAACACCCCTGGTGCTTCCAGCAGAGGCTGGGCAGTGCGCGTCTGTGCGGAGATGCCATGATTTGGTTTGTTCTCCGCATCCCCTGCCTCTGCTCTGGTTTAGTGCCGTAGAAGAGAGATTATTGTTCCTGTGTATTTGGTATCAAGAAGTATTTGTCAAGTGCCTGCCCCAGCGCCGTGCCTGGTCACCGCTCCTCCTGCTGAAGCCGCGTTCCCGGGAACGGCATGGAGAGCCGCAGAGAGGCTGTTGGTGCCGGTGGAGGGGCCGTGGCGAGTGCCCTGGTTGCCGTGGTGATGGTGGTGCGTTGTGACACATGTATGGTGCCTTTCACCTGCACTGATGTAGCGTGACTCCTGCACTGGCTTGTGAAGTGGGTGCTGAACTTGGCCTGAGAGGCTCAGTAGAAGTTGGTTCATAGAGGAACCAGATTGGAAACGGGGCGCTCTTGGTCAGAGCGGGGGTGGTCGCGGTCACGTTAACCAGTCAGGGAATGAAGACTTAGTGCTGTGTGCGTGCAGCTTGGGTGGGGTGCAGGGACTGGGGTAGGAGAAATGAGGGCTTTTGGTTCAGTTAGGCCTGCAGTCCAGGGGTAGAAGGTGAAGACCAGTGTGGAAATGGGTGGGCCGTCTGCTTGTGCATCAAAGGCTGCGGTCAGGTTCCTGAAGCTGTGTTTGTAGTGCTGCCCTACTGCACATTTTCCGTGGAACTTGTGCGTTTCCAGAGTTCTTACTTTCCCGTGGATTGCGTTCACTGCCCTCCAGCCGTGCGCGTGTCCAGCGTGGGTGGAAATGGCGGTGATGGTAAGGAGAGTCGCTTGCAGCTCCAGAGAAGTCTGGATTTCTGCATGGTTGATGGTGGCTTAACGAGCAGTCTGAAACGATTAGGCTCTGGAAATTTGTTTCAGGGGATGGTGAATGAAGGCATTCTAGAGGGTGGTTGTGTATTGTTGTGTTTCTTTCTCTCAGATTGGAAAGAAAATCAAAAGGACCTGGGTGCATTCCGAGAATTAAAGTCACACAGTTATTCAGATGTTCGCATTATACTGAGCGGGGACAAACCCTGACCTTTACACTGTATACAGTTGGCTTATTACAGAAGATTCCTCTTTCCTCTTCCTCTAAGGAACTTCCCCGTGTATGTGGGAGATGAGCACAATCGGGGGCCGCTCTGAGCCTTGTAAATGCCGTGTGAGGAGCAGAGAGCAAGCCGGAGAGGTGACAGTGCGTGCGGGGAAGGAGGCCCGTCCGCCACCCCGCCGAGGGCGGCCGTGGTGCCGCTGCTGTTTAGCCGGGGGCAGCTCAGGGGCTGCGCTGAGTTTCTCCTGAAGGTGGAGGAACTTGGGTTTGGGTTTTGGAAAGGTAAAACACCAGTGACTGAGCGGTCTTATTTTTCTGTAGAAAAAGCACTGATGTATTTTGAAAGAAACATTCTCTATTGCCTCAGAGTCATAACGGGCTTTATAGAAGACTCAGATTGAGCAATGCCCGTCTCTCATAGGGTCACCTCCAGGCGCGGGGCAGAGGCCTGCAAACGGGACAAAGCGTGTCTGAGGTTGCGAGAGCCCTGGGATCAGGGTGCTCCTTCGCACTGCTGTTCCATAGTTACCGGATCAGGTGCTTCTACTGGAAAATCCAAGATCTGTGATAGAAAGAAGGCTTACTCTGGAACTCGTACACTGTCAAGATAAACATTAATTTCTTGCAAGTCAAACTGTTAGGGGAGAAGTTTTCACTTCATCGTTATAAGGTAATTTGGCATGTGGTATTACATAAGAACATTGTGGTACCTTTGAGCTGCACTTCAGTGTAAGAGATAAAACCGCAGATATTGTTGAAGCCCCTGGGTGCCCCTTCTGGCTCCGTTTTCTCTTTATCTAGTTTGTCCTTATTGCCACCCGTACATGTTACGTTTCTGCGGAAGTCTCTGTGTCCGTCACTGACTCTGTTACTTTACACGTCTTTATGTGTGTGGAGGTGATGTCCTGCTGCACGTTTCTGTCTGTGGGCTTCTTCCATTGTTCAGCCTTTGAGATTGTCCTCCCTCATTCTTTTGAGCCACTAGACATACCATCTACTGTATCTATTTTCCTGCTGGTGGCATTTAGTTCTTATTCTCTATTTTCTCTTGTACAAGTAATACTTCACTAAATATGTCTCTCTCTCTCTCTCTCTCTCTCTCTCTCTCTCTCTCTCTCTCCTGTGCGTGTGCTTCACCTAACCCAGGGAGTGAGATCGCTTAGTCACGGGATGGAATGTGTGCTCACCTTCACGGGCGGCTGTCTTCGGTAGGTGTGGCTGGCCATCTCCAATGCCAGCCTGGAAATGAGAGTCTTGGGGATTAAGATAATGGTGACTCCTTTTTCACTTATATTTTGGGGTCACAGTGGATCTATGCATGTTTGTGGTTTAGTGGGGGAAAGACCAATACCGAGTGAAAGCTACTGTGTGTTGATGGTTTAAAACTCAGGTTTCTGTGAAGTGTTACACATCTCCTAGGGCCACAGTCAGAAACTGTAAAGAAGAAATTTGAAGCTGAGGCAGCAAGATCACAAGTTTGAGTCCAGCCTGAGCAACTTAGTGCGACGCTGTCTCAGAAAAGAGGGGGAGGGTGCTAGCGATACAGCTGAACGTGAAGGCCCGGGTGCAAATCTCAGTACTGAAGGAAGGAGCGGGAAGAGGAGGAGGAGGGAGGCGGGCGGGGAAGTTCTGACTTGGGATGCGGCGGTGGTGGGGGAGGCCCTGGGTTCGATCCCCAGCGCCACAGAAGTATGTGTGGACTCTTACTCTTTTGGTATTTCAGCGCCTGCTTCACATTTGACCCCCAGCTCATGTGGCTTAGTGCGGGACGGGGAAGACTTTAAACAGGAGCATTGTTTGGTGGTCTTTGAAGTTCCTGCAATGTGTTTTAAAGTCTCTCTTTAAACCCTCCTGTCTCAGTGTGCAAGTAGAAGGACAAGAGCCCGAATTACGACGACGGCACAAATCACAGCAGGGTCAGGGTGAAGTCACAGGCGCGCTCTCTGGGTGAAAGGAGCTGCTGTGTTCTTACCACATTTTTCCTGCTCAGGTTGCCCAGGTGTAGTTTGTGGTTTCTAAGATACCCGCTGGACTGGCCTCAGCTGATGGTATCAGGGCCTTCCTATTTCCTCTGCCTCATTTTCAGAACTTTCATGTAACTCACCCTTTATGCAGGCCCGGAAACAATTTTGCTATTACATTTGTTTTGTTTTGATTTGTTTTTTGGTACCAGGAATTGAACTCAGGACCTTGTGCTTGCCAGGCAGGCACTTATGCTACTGAGCTATATCCCTGGCCCATGCTATAACATTATACTTGCTTCTCTCTTTTTGTTTTTTTTTTTTTTTTTGAGACAAGGTCTTGCTATGCAGTTCAGGCTGGCCTTGAGCTCACTTTGTAGCCCAGGCTGATCTTGAACTCGCAAGGCTTCTCCTGCCTCAGCCTCCTGAGTGCTGGGATTACAGGTGTGCGCCACCATGCCCGGCTAAGGCTCTCTTGTAAGCTAATTAAAACAAGCACTGGTTGCTGTCTTTTTTTTTTTTTTTTTTTTCTGGTTGCTGTCTTACTTGGTTGTTTAAATTGCTTTATCCCTAGCCTAACAGTTGTACTTTTAATTTTTTTAATTTGTTTTGTCTTTTTGAGACAGGGTCTCACTATGCAGTTCAGGCTGGCCTTGAACTCATTTTATAGCCCAGGCTGGCCTTGAACTCAC